CATGGCAACAGGTGCCTTCCCTACCAAGCCGTGTTGCTGGCCCAGTGTTCTTTTCTTTTTGTATAATGCTGCTTCAGTCTCTTTGAGTGCTGAGATTGCGAACCAGCAGACCTGGCTGTCATTTCTACTTGCCATCTTTTCCATTTGGAAAGGGGATAGAAGATAGAACCTTGGGGTTTCACATGGCTAGGCCAGCATTGTGCCTAAGCCACATCCTTGGGTCCTGATTGTCTGTTTGACTCTGTCTTCCAATGTATGTGTTTGTATGTTATTGTCTTTGGGAGGGTGCTGCACATGGGTTACACCTCACAAGGGTTGATGTCAGAGGATAACTTGCAGGAGGAGTTGATTCTGTCCTTCCCCCACGTGGGTCCTGGGATCTACCTCAGGCTTGGTATAATAAGCAACTTTCCTCATCTGGGCCATCTTGAAGACTGTCCCAGGCCTGAGTCTTTTCAGTCATGTGCTCATGCGGCATGGCTAGGCTGGGACGAACTCTGTAGTAGAGCATCCATATAACAGGTGTGAGGTCCTGCCTGCCATGCCCAGCAGTATAAATCAGTTAATCCATCAGTCTGTCCAGGCGGAAACCAGTAAATAAAACAAGCAGATAAAAGACATTTGAGTATGAAATATGCTGGGAGAAAAATGGAGCAGAGACGGACAGGGCTCTGAAGGGCTCCATTCTTCAATAAGGAGTCAGCCACTACCTGCACGGGGAGTCTAAGCAAAGGGTTGCAGAAGGAGGGAGGCCTGGGCCTGGTGATACAAGCCTGGGCTTCAAATTACCTAGCAGGCTGAGGCAGAAGGATCACAAGTCCAAGGATAGCTTGGGCAATTTGGTGAGAGCCTACTCAAATAAAAGTGTTGGAGGTAGCATGTATAATGACCCAGGTTCATGCCTAGTCCTACAAAAAAACAAACAAAAATGTATAAATGTGAAGGCAAGCCAGGCGGTGGTGGCGCACGCCTTTAATCCCAGCACTCGGGAGGCAGAGACAGGCGGATCTCTGTGAGTTCGAGGCCAGGAGGGACCGATAGCCTCCAAAACAATACAGAGAAACCCTGTCTCGTAAAAACCAAAAAAAAAAAAAAAAAAAAAAAAACAATAAATGTGAAGGCAAAGTAATCTAAGAAGGAAAAGGTCCTGGGGAGGTGGGTGTGGACCAGGCACAGGGAGGGGAGGGAGTAGCTCAGGACCCTGTTGGCTCTTGGGGATAGCTCTGACTTGTGGCTTCTGTGATTTCTGCATCACAGAGTTCTCCAACCCATGAATCCACCACCTCTCCAGAGCTGCCTTCAGAGACCCAGGAGACTCCAGGCCCTGGCCTGTGCAGGTGACACCCCTCCCTAGTCTGCCCCCTACTCTTGCCTGACCTCTGAGTTCATCAGCTCCCTTTCTCCACAGCCCCCTGAGGAAGTCGTCCCTGAGTCTTGAAGACTTCAAATTCCTGGCAGTGCTGGGCCGTGGTCATTTTGGGAAGGTGAGGCAGGGGAAAGACTTAGGGGCTTGGAGTTCTTCCTTCAAGAGCCCAGGCTGTCCAGTAAGGCCCCTGTGTCCACCTTGTGCCAGGTGCTGCTGTCTGAATTCCGCTCCAGTGGGGAGCTCTTTGCCATCAAAGCCTTGAAGAAAGGTGACATTGTAGCCCGAGACGAGGTGGAGAGGTGGGTGAGGCCCTGCCCTGGCTCTTGAGGGTTTTGGGAAACAGTCGAGAGGAGGGCGCTTCTGAGCATTTCAGTAAGAGTCACATTACCAGAACTTAGCACCCTCCTGCCTAAGAGGAGCGTCTTAGGAAGTAGTTACTATGACTCATTGGTGGCCCGTGTCCCCTTGCAGAGTGAATAATGTTATTGCTCCCTTTGTACTCAGGGTGTCACACAGTAGGCAGGAGGTTCAGACTCAATGCAGGGACATGGGACTGCCTTGTTTTGGGGTCAGGCTCCCAGGTTAAAATCGTGCCTCTGTCAGCTGTGCTTTGGGTGCTGGGAAAAGCGGCTTTCCTTCAGAATAAGTCTCCTGATCTGTCCATAAATGCCCATGGAAGTGCCCTGCTCATGACTGACTGCGGGATCAAGGAGAAGGTCTATTTGAAGTGTTCTTCATGGTTCTTGATCCCTTAGAGTCATCAGGCTGTCCTAGACCCCCCCACCTTTGTGAAAACAGGAGTCTGATTCAGAGTTTAAATGAGCAAGAGGGATTTATTTACTCATCTGGAGAGAAGCCCATTCATGTTCACCTTAAGGCACTGCTGTGCCCAGGGCTTCGTGATGTTTCTGGTTGTGTGCTCCTTTGCGGGCTGTGCTTGCAGTCTCCTCTTGGAGACAGAAAAGCCTTTCCACACCAAAGATCAGATCGGGTTCCTCATGCTGGGTGCTGGTCCCTGACCCAGTCCCCAGCATGGACTGGGACTGCTCTGATCAGCCTGAGCCTGTGTCCTCACCTGCTTCCCAAGACAATGCATAGATTCTGGGAGTGCAGAAGCCAAGGCCACCCAAACAGAGAGAGCAATCCAGTTGCCCAAAGTCCCACAGCAGTGCAGGCCCAGCAGATATCTGTTGAGTGAGTCCTGCAAAGGTCAGGGAGCAGCTGGGCCTCTGACTTCTGCCTCCTGCCCAGCCTGATGTGTGAGAAGAGGATTTTGGCGGCCGTGACCAGGGCAGGACATCCCTTCCTGGTGAACCTTTTCGGCTGTTTCCAGACCCCAGAGCACGTGTGCTTTGTGATGGAGTACTCAGCGGGCGGAGACCTGATGCTGCACATCCACAGTGATGTGTTCTCAGAGCCTCGGGCTGTGTGAGTCCTCACTGCAGCACCATGCCTCTGTCCTGCCATGATCGGAGGCCCCGCCCTCCACCCACCCCGCCCTCCACCCACCCATCCTCCACCCCTCCACTCTATCCCCCACTCCCCCACCCTACACCTCAACCTTACCCCCATCCCTCCACCCTACCCCCGCCCCTCCACCCTGAGGCCTGACTCCAGCACAGCTTTGGGAGCCCAGGGGTTAGGGACTTGGCGCCTTGAAGCCAGGCTTGTGTGATCTTGTGCATCTCTGCAGCTTCTATTCGGCCTGTGTGGTGCTGGGGCTGCAGTTCCTCCATGAACACAAGATTGTCTACAGGTGTGTACTGAGAGCGCATCCCGTCCATAGACTGGACATGCTCAAGCTCTGTACAAAGCCCCAACCCCACTCCCAGTCATCCCTCTTTACATCCCCTGACACCCGTTCCCCAGGGACCTGAAGTTGGACAATTTGCTCCTGGATACTGAGGGCTACGTCAAGATCGCAGACTTTGGCCTCTGCAAGGAGGGTGAGGGGCTGCAATCCTGGGATGAGAGGAGTAGGGGGTGGGTACCTCTGATGAGGCTGTGTGTAGGTGGTCAGGTGACATTTTCTTCCCTGTGGGCTTCGCTTGCAGGCACCTGCCCACCTAACAGCTTCAGGGTAGCTCACAGCGTTAGCCCACTTCCCAGGGTCACCCCACACTGATTCGGGGTAGGGCTGGCTGTTTGGACTGTCTCATGCTCTGCTCCTTCTAGCCGCTAGTGGCTCACATGGCCATGCTCTCCACTGCACCCAGGGATGGGCTATGGAGACCGGACCAGCACATTCTGCGGGACCCCAGAGTTCCTGGCGCCGGAAGTGCTGACAGATACATCCTACACTCGAGCAGTGGACTGGTGGGGACTGGGCGTGCTGCTCTATGAGATGTTGGTTGGCGAGGTGAGACCTAGGCTGCCTTTTTCTTTTGTACAGAACCCGCATTGCCCCGGAATGGGATGGGAATCTGCCCTACTACATGCCAGCTTTGCCTCTCCGATCTGTTTCTGTAACTAAAATGGGGCTGCACTCTATAAGCCAGCTCTGGCCCTAACCCTAACCCTTTGGTAGTGGTGGGTATGCTGGATTGGTTAAAAGTAGGATCTTCCTCACCCTGGCTCTCTGGGTCCCCCCAACCCCAGTCTCCATTCCCTGGGGACGATGAGGAGGAGGTGTTTGACAGCATTGTCAACGATGAGGTTCGCTATCCCCGCTTCCTGTCAGCAGAGGCCATTGGCATCATGAGAAGGGTAAGCACACGCCCCACCACAAAGGAGGGCCAGGTGGGCAGGAAAGCTCCTGAGGGACCGAATCGAGTACACATTGTGTGTTGTCTTACAGCTGCTGCGGAGGAACCCCGAGCGGAGGTTGGGATCCACTGAACGAGACGCAGAAGATGTGAAAAAACAGCCTTTTTTTAGGGTAAGCAGACCCCCTCCCCACGCTGTCAGTCACCCCAAGGACCTGGGTGTTTCTCCCAGTTCATTCCCACCCCAAATCTAGTTGCTCTATCTCGATGTTTGCGCCCGTTCCCCCCCCCCCATGTTTCCTCTCAATGTTACCTCCTTTTGTCTGCTCCGTCATTACTCCCAATCCTCACTCTCCCTGCTTCTCCAGGCCCATGTCATTACAGGGCTGTCCTGAGCTACACCAGACTCCCTTGATTAATCTGAGGTCTAGCTCGTCTGCACGTGTCTACTTCCCGCCGTTCTCCAGACTTCCCCTCAGCCTCATGACTCTCTGTTCCCCTCTCCAGACGCTGGGCTGGGACGTCCTGCTGGCTCGTCGCCTGCCCCCACCCTTCGTGCCTACCCTTTCGGGGCGCACAGATGTCAGCAACTTCGATGAGGAGTTCACTGGGGAGTTGCCCACGCTGAGCCCACCCCGGGATGCGCGGCCCCTCACAGCTGCGGAGCAGGCGGCCTTCCGGGATTTCGACTTTGTGGCGGGAGGCTACTAGCCCCAAGCCCCTGTCTTGCCCAAGAGTTTTTGGTTTTTAAAAAGCCCTTTGGGGTTTACCCCATACATGCATTTTCAGCCTCCGTGTGCACTCTGGGGCGAGCGTCCTTGGAGCAGACCACAAGCAGGCAGACTCTGGGGGACAGGACTGTGATGGGGCTCATTTGAAAGGTCAAGCTGGGAACATGCATTAGTGAGGAGCCAGGACAGGACTCAGGGTTGTAGTGGGGTACAGGGTATATTGAGGCTGTATAGTTAGGGACCAAAGTGAGCAGAATGGTTGCAAGAGTCTGTTGTGGTGGCTCCATTTAAGGGGAGCTCCGGGACTCAGGGTTGTGAACATGCTCTTGGAGCTCCTGACCTGGGGAATCCCACCTCAGATATTTGGAACATCCCATGTGTCTGCGCCATCGTGTGGCCAACATTAGAATTGTACTCGTCGGGGTGGAGTCTCCTTCACCAATATACGGTCACAGTGTGTGCCGCCGCGCCACAGGACACATTGCCCATGGAATGCTGTTTGAGGTTTTCTACACCCTTGAGCCCTGCCCAGTGGTTTGGCTTAGCTTCTGGGCATGTTCAGAGGTGGCTAAAGCCACTGTGCCGGGAGCTACGCAGTGAACTGGCCTCCCAGGCACTCTTGGTTAGGTCCAGCTCTGTTGGACCACCTTTAGCACCGGCCCTCAGGGGCAGGAGGCGAAGCAGTTGGCGCAGCACGGCTTGGCGCAGCAGGATGTACACCCAGGGGTCCAGGATCTGGTTCCATGATGCGAGGCGCACAGCCAGAAAGAGCGGTCGCTGCAGGGAGCTAGAGTTCCAGCCCCCGACGGCCAACACCACCAACACCTGCGAGAAAAGCAGTGGGACGGGTGTGAGAGAAGGAGCGGGGTGGGAGATTAGGCTGGGGAGGGCTATGCAGGGCAAATACTGTGTGGGAAGGAGAGTGACTAAGCAAAGGTTGTCAGTGACTGCAGAGTCTGGCTGGAGAAGACCCATCATGCCAGCACACAGGACAGAAGAAAGGTCAAAAGGCTGGGGAGGAAGAAAGCTAGGAATGGATGGAGCGGAGGGACGAACAAGGCTTGAGTGGATGGGAGTAAGTTACAGAGATCCAAAGAGAACGAAGGTAGAGCCGGGGACAGCAGGCACGGTCTTTAGGGGGGCGGAGCCCAGGAGGGGGGGTAGGAAGGAGTGTGGGTTGAGGAGCGGTTGCGCCCCTCACCAGCAGAGGGCTCCAACAGATGCACGACACCACCATGATGCCCACGAGTTGGCCCACCATCTCCACGTCGTGCGCACGAACCCTGCGCGCCGAGCTGCCGCCCCGGGAGCTGCGGAGGGTGGCGGAGGCTGAAGCGATGGATGACGCAGACGAGGTGGAGGCCAAGCGGGGTCCACGGGATCCCCAGCGCCGGCGATCATCGGGACCTCTGGTCTCACGGAGACGTCGAGAGCGGCGACGCCTCCAGCGGGCTCGGAGGAGCGCTAAGCCGCTGAGTGTATTGCACACGAGTGCCGCAAGGAGCGCGGCCAGGCCAAGGCCAGCGAAAAGGCCGGCAAGCAATGCCTGGCGCCAACCTCCACGAGGCCCAAGGCTAATGAAACACCAGGTACCAGGGTACTGTAGCTCGTAGCGACCCACATGTGCTAGCGGCAGCAGCGCCACTGCCAAAGCCAGGGTGGCCAGTGCGGCTAGTGCCAGGCGTGCGTGGGCCACCGATACACGCGCTGCGTGGAGCAGCGGTTGCGTGACACCCACGCAGCGCTCCACGGCCATGCCGCAGCCAAGTAAAAGTGGGCACAGGCCGAAGAAAACCATGCAGCCGCCCAGGAAATGACACGCCCCACCAGCAGGCGAACGTCCTGCAGCATACAGGCGAAGCACCAGTGCGCCCGGGATCACATGGCCTGCCAGGTCGATGGCCAGCAGGCTGGCGACGAACAACAGAAAGGTGGCAGCTGAGCGGCGCCGACGCAGACGGCCTGCAGCTTGTGCCAGCAGCGCTAGCGCCAGCACGTTGGACACGGCACCCAGGGTCATGGAGAAGATAGGCAGCACTGGTGATGTGCCAGAATCGCCTGGTGGCAGCACCGCAGATGTGTTGGGGGCCCTGGGTGTTGCACACGTTGCCTCGTCCACTAGGCTCACGTTAAGCCCACAGGGGCTCATATCAGTGGCCAAGAGGGCTAGGTAGATAAGAGGAGGGCACAGTGAGGCTAGCGTCCCGCTGCCTGTCACCAGAATCCATGTATAGGCAATGTGGCCTCTCTGCCCAGGGCACCTCCACATGACCCTGGCTGCTCCATTTCAGATCCCACTGTACCCCCACTGCTCTATCCCTTGTGCCCCCACATCGTCTTCTCTGTCTACTGCTTTGGGGGACTTGACTGACATAGCAAAGGTCCTCAGTATCGGTCCTCATCTCCACCCACCACCTCCTAGCACATCAGGTTCCATCCCCCATGGAATAGACCCTTCACCACTTCTGATCCCAACTCCAACCTTCACCATATCTGCCCACCCCCCTCTCTTTTTTGTAAGTCTCTTTGGTTGGGTCTGGAACTGGCTGTGTAGACTAGGCTGGTCTTAAACTTAAATCCACCTGCCTATGCTTCCTGTGTCCTGAGATTGAAGGGTCACAGCACCAGGATCAATGGTTGGTCATCTTTTAATCCTGCCCTTGATGTCCATGTCCCAACATTTCCACTACTATATCCCGTCTCTTCCCATGGCCGTGCTCCTGCTTCCAGAGACCTACTCTTGATCTCCAGTTTCATCTCTCCCCAAACAAACCATCTCTATAAAGACTCATTGCTGTGCCCTGTAGCCCCATCTGTCTCCAGGGTCCTCTCTGTCCCCACTGACTCCTGCTTCCATGGACCCATTTCTGTTCTCTTCGGTGCTTTTAAGACTACTCTGGCCCGCCTCTTTACCTGGAATCCCATTCTGTTGTCAAGAGTCACACCTCTGTCTCCATGGCAATCCCTCACTAATCAGGCATTGTCTCATTTTCAGATGCCCACCCCATACTCGTGTTCTTCATTCTCTAATTAAGAGGGCTAAAGCATATGAACAGACAGCCCTGGGCTGAGAGCCACGAGCATAGTGAGACCAGGGTGGCCATAGCCCATCTTTCAATGCTCTCCTTTTCCCTGCTTGCCGACCCTCAAGTCCCAGCTTCTTACCCAGTGCTGCTCAGGATGCAGGGTCCCCATGGCCCGGAACTAGGCTCCTGTTGCCCGCGCCAGCTGCTCCCTGGCTCCCGGCAGGCCGCTCCCTCTTCCTGGGGCGGCTCCTCAGCTCTGTGCCGCCTCCACCCGCACCCCACTGGCCTCCAGGGGCTGCTCCACCCCAAGCATGTCTGCCTGCTGGAGCTGGGAGCCTTGAGTGGGCGAAACCTTTGCGGCTGGCAATGGTCAGGGCCACTTGGGCCCGGTTTCTCACGGCCAAGGACTGAAGTTCTCTGAATTGGTCTGTTCTGTGACCCCCTCCTCTCAGTGGAGCTGAAGCAACCCCCACACCCTCACCCGGGCCTCTTGCCTGCCTCATTAATAAAGTGGATAAAATCTAAACACTGGAAAATGTGAGCATCGCCTGGGGCAGGCTGGGAGGTCTACGCACTCCCATGGGGGTGGGGTGGGGTGCTGTCCCCATTGGGCTTAAGGGTTTGGGAGCTGGCTATGTGATGGCAGCCAGCAATGTTGCCTGTCCTTAAGCTTTTGTGGATGTCACAGTGGGGGTGGAGGTGAGCAGCAGCCCAGTCTAGGGCAACAGGGAGTCATCCTAGGAGAAGGGGAGGTGGCTGACCAGCTCAGGGGAGCCAGACTAGCATATGCACCCTGCCTTAAGGTGGGGTAAGCAATTCATAGGGCACCTGAGCAACATCCTGCAGCCACAGCCTCACTTTGTCTTGGGAAGGGGAACGTGCAGTCACTGTCAGATCAGTCATGACGGCAAGTAAGCACTGGATTGTTCCCACAATTGCTGACTTTCAACATCCACTCCCTTAATACCCACAAATACAGACCCCTTGAAATTGATGCTTGCCCACACCTTAGCACAGGGTGTGAATCAACTTGACACTGTAAGTCTATTACAGTCCCAGGGGTCATCTCCTAGAGATTCCCCCACAAACCGATGCCCATGGGCACCCAGACCTTGTCCTACCTGAGCCACTAATCACATCTCCAGACACTCTTAAAGCCTAAGTGTTTATTCTGACCCCCAAGCAAGGCTATATCTGAGACCCACACAACACTGGACACAGCTACAATAACACACTCAACACCCCACAACTCCCTGAAACCAGAGGACTGAATGCTTACCCACAATGGTAACAGCCCTGGTTCAACCATCCACTACTCAATTTCACTCAACAAAGCCATACATTCCCAGCTGCTCCCATCAAAGACATGCAAGACCCCAACATAGGACTTGAGGCATAGTTCAGTGCATCTCCAGCATGTGTGAAGCCCTGGGTTCCACCATACACACTGAAAAACAACCTTAGTGATTGGTGATAAGTCACCCTGACTGTGGCTGCCCATAGGGCTCTGTACATGTACATGTCTGGTGTCCAGAGTACTCATCTCCTGCCCGGAATCAGACTTCCTGCAGCATCTCCACTGGACTTACCCCCAAGCATTCCTCCTGGGCACTGGAGAGGGACCTCTGGCCTGACTTCCCTTGTTCTAATCGCCTCCCTTCTCTCCAGGTCTGGCCAGGGTCCCACCCCCACCCTTTCCTTGATCTCCCTAAATCCTAGGATGAAATGGACTGTCAAAACAAGCTTGGCAGGTTTATGTCCCTGTGAAGCACTGTGGCATGGATGCCTGTGCCCCAAGTGCCACCAGCCTCAGCCAGGGTGCTGTAACAGGTCAGCAGGGATGCCGCCTACACAGAGGTGTTAACTGCAGCCTCCTCACACAAGAGGGGCTTGGTGAGTGGGGAACCAGGTCTGAACCTCAAGTAAGCCAGAAACTCCACCATTGCCTGGAAGCTTGATGGCCTACAGCCAGGGGGAGGGGGCAGTGGGCCAGCCAACTCCTAATTCAATTTGGAATCCAGGAGATAGATTTCAGCTGCCGCATTCTTTCCCTAGCCACCCCTCCTACCCCAAAACCAAACAACTCCCAGAGAAGAGTCTCTACATCCAAGAGGGTCAGGGTACAGAAGCCCACTCACTGCCTTGCTCACTCCTCCCTCTTGCATTTCCTAAGGGAGATGATGAGGAACCAGGGTTCACAACAGTGTCCACTCAAATGGGAGGTAACAGAATCCAACTTAAGGGGGCTCCTTTCGGATGGGAGATGCACGAAGGGGACAGTATTATTGCCTTTACTGGGGGGGGTGTGCCCCCTTCCTGCATTTCTGGTGTCAAGAAAGTAGGGAGAGTCAGGAGTGGTGAAGTACACCTTTACTGGGAGGCAGAGGCAGGCAGATCTCTGTGAGTTCAAAGCCAGCCTGATCTACATAGTGAGTTCCAGGACAACCATCGCTACATGGTGAGTCTGTCTTGAAAAAACAAAGCAAAAAAGTAAGATAGGAAAGTCATGACCCCAAACAGAACCGAGGCCCAGGGAGGCAAAAGGGGCAGTGTGCCAGCTTATGGTGGAAAGTGTTGGGGACAGAGGTGGCTGCCCAGTGTGCTGGTCCCTCCCCATGCGCTTACTCTACTGAGGTAGGTAGGGAACCCGGCAGGGGTTGGCCAGGGATCCCAACCAGGCTGGGCACCGTAGTGATCGGAGTGGAACCAGGACCACAGGCCACTTCCATCCCATGCCATCCCCAGGCTGCTAAGTGGACATGCCTAAGCAGGATGCTCGGGTCTTGGCTGTGGCAGCCCTTCTGGAGGCCCCATCCAGGCCAAGCCCAGGTTATCTCGAGGTCCAGGTTCAGTTCCAGTCTTAGTAGCGGCCGACCTTGGCATCCCCGATGGCTCCCCAGACATCAAAGACGAATTCATCTGGGAATGCAAAGTCACCGAGCCATTCATCCAGAGCCTCTGCCAGCTCATCTGGGTTCCTTTTGTCTTTTCCCAGCTCCACCATGGTGGCAGCTGTCAGGGAGGAGAAAGATGGAGACAGATGGCATGAGAGACAGAAGGGTACAGGCCCAAGCCAACCTGAGTGAGATCTGGAAACCTGCTCCCACCTTCCAGGCATGGTGCCCCCACTCACCCAGTTCTGTGTCTCTGATCCCCATGTAGCTCTCTAGCAAGTCATCCACCTTCTCAATGGCCTTTTCCTCAAAGGCCGATGGCTGTGGAGGAGGGACAAGACAGCACAGCAGTGTCAACAGAACTGTTGTCATACACAGTGCATGCCTACAGTGCTGGGGACAGGTCCAGAGCGTCACGCATGCCAGGCAACAGCTCCACCAATGAGCTGCACCCCCAGCTATCACTTTTCGAGACAGGGTTTTTCGAAACAGGGTTTCTCTGTATTGTTTCAGAGGCTGTCCTGGAACTCGCTCTGTAGACCAGGCTGGCCTCTGAACTCACAGAGATCCGCCTGCCTCTGCCTCCCAAGTGCTGGGATTAAAGGCGTGTGCCACCAACGCCCGGCTGTCCAGCTATCACTTTTTTTAACATTTGTTTATGTGTAGGAGTGCTTTGCCTGCACATATGTATGTGCACTACGTGTGGGCCTGTGACGGTCAGAAGAGGACACTGGATGCCCTGGAGCTGGAGTTAGCGTGTTGGCCGCCCAATATGGGTGCCGGGAACTCAACCTGGGTCATCTGCAAGAGCAACAAGTGCTCTAAACTGCTGAGCCGTCTCTCCAGCTCCAATAGTCAGATATTATTATTCTAATTTTGAGATACTTTCTAAGTTGCCCAAACTGACTTTAAACACTAAACCCTTCTACCTCAGCTTCCCAGGCATCTAGGATTACAAGTACATGTCCACACTTGGCTGGCTATCATACATTTTCTTTTTGGTGACAAGCTCTTGTGGTTTGAGTTGCCCTTGAATGTGAAATCCTCCTGCCTGAGATGCCATGCCTGGCTGTGGTTTTTGTCTGAATCACTAAGGTCCTCTCTGACAGGAAGTTACTGGGACTCCAATTTTACAGGTAGGAAAACCAAGTCTCATTTGCCCAAGGAAGGTCCCAAAGCTGGGAGGACGGAGAGTTAAGCAGGTGTCTAGAGTCACTCAGGTAATGAGAATGCTGTCACTGGCCCAAGGTAGCTCACTCACCAGATCCTCCACTGTGGCAGGGCCCCGGGATCGGAGCCTGAGGGTCCCTCGGCCAGTGCCCAGTTGTGGGCCCGAGCCAGGGTGGCCACCTGCTGAACGCTGGCTGATCATATCTATGGGAATTTCAGCAGACAGTCAGTACAGCACTCAGGCAGCTAGGCCAACTCTCACCATCTCCAAGTTCTGCAGTCTCCTTGGGCTAAGGGCTGGATTCCAGGAGGACAGGACTTTGCAGGAATGGAGAGGGGCAGGGTGGGGTGGGGGTTAGACATAAAAGAAGCTAGAGAAGGCAATCCAGGGCAGCTTCTACTACTTCTACTTGAAGGGGTGAGAGCTGGGGAGGGGTCGAATATGGGTCCTTGGACACTTTCCCATGACCAGGGGTGGGCATAACTGCTAGGTCCCAGATCAGTCCTACCTACCCATACCAGGGGCGCCTCAGGCCCATTCCTGAGAGTTAGTGAAGCCAGGTAGAAAAGGGGGGCAGGGCCCCAGAGTTGTACAGGTCAGCCAAGCCTCACTTCTCCAGGCTCAGGGGGGCTGGCCAGGGTTGGGGGCACTTGGCTGGGCTAATGGCTTCTGGAAGTTGGGTGTGGGGGCTATTTCCTTCAGGCTGGGCTGCCAGCCAGCACCCAGTTCTAGGCTAGGGTGGGGCCGGCTTCACTTTGCATTGCAGACTTGGGTGCCACCTGCCGGTGGTCCCCAGAACTGCAAACCATATTCTTCAAGAATTCAAGGTCATCCTAGTGGGTGGTCCAAAGACTGCTCACCAAAGGCTTTCCGAGGCTCTGTGAGTTTGAGGGTGAAGGTACGGCCTCGGGGCAGCTCCTTGAGGAGCCTGGCAACTTCGTAGTGCCGACAGCCCAGCAGGCTCTGCCCGTTGATGGCTTCAATCATGTCCCCGACACTGATGAGCTGGATGTGGTCGACCACGCTGCCTTCCTTGATGCGCTGTGGATGGGCAGGTGTCAGCCCTGGGAACTCCACTCTAGGTCCCTTTACAGACCCTGACCACTGACTAAGGGTGCGCCACCCACCCGGGCACCTTAATGAAGGCATAGCCAGCCCCGTTGTCGGTAATGGTGAGTCCCAGAGCCTCTTCAGACTTGAACACCTCCACCTCTTTGCGCTGCCCCTTGACGTGAGCAAAGATGAAGTCTTCCAGCCCGATCTGGCCCCCCAGGAGCTTGTCCATATCCACTTTATGGGTGTTGAGGGTGCAGAACATCACCTGCAGAGGGGGTCAAGATGCTCATGGCCTCCTCCCTGGTCCCCTCTCCTAGCACTTGGGAGAGGAGGGGACTTCAGAAAAGATTCCTACCCCAGGAATTGGTGACACCCAGAGCCATGGCAAGGTCCACTAGTACATCAAATGTTCTGAGTAGGACTTCTGCTAGCTTGATTAACAGTGAGCACTCAATGAACGCTGGAGTGAATGAAGGCTTCTAGACTCCCACCTACCCTTCCCACCTGTCTCCACTTGAGCTCGGCACCACTGCTGCCCTCCCTGTGGCTTCTCTGCTTCCATCTTGGGGTTGCGCCTCTAGTGCATCATGGGGATTAGCTGCTCCTGACCTCCAGCTCCCATAGTGCTCTGGGGCATAGGTGTCCTAAAGCCTCACAGAAACCCAGCTACAGCCTACCGAGCCACAGGCTACTGCAGACCTGATGAGATAATCAGCACTCGCCCCCCCCACAACCTACTAGGTTATGATCAAAGCCTGATGGGAAACCTACCCCCGTGTACCTACTGGGGTACAAGTCTCTCAAGGCCGGATAGGAACTCAGTATCCTGCTGCAGCCATACCTCCTAGATTCAGGGGCTGCTGGCCAGCGGGGAGCATGAGCACCTGAGCCCCAGCTCACAAGG